GGATAGCTACCATGAGGCTTTGTATAACTACCTATGCATATTATATGATATAAAATAATGATATAATATTAGATATACAAGGATTATAATATTGAATTTGTAAGCTCTATAAATGAGGGTGTGCTCTACTGGGAGTATCTCTTGCTGTCGATTCGGTCTTATAGGATATCTATCACATCTTTTGACGGCCTAAGACTAGGGTATATATATAGCTGAATGTGGGCCAATTCGATGCCACCCGGTGGCATCGTGTTGTTGTTGTTGTTGGCGTCTGATGGCCGTTTGCCAACTGGCTGCAACAAAAATATGAAAACTAACAGCTCTGGCATGGGGCATGAGGCATATGCGGCATATGAGGTGACAGCCAGACTAGAGTGAGAGAGAGAGCGAGAGAGAGGAGCGTGTGTGGCGGCGGAGGCGTGGTGCAAGTAGCAGCAGGCAAGGTGTGCGGCAATTGCTGCTGCTGCCGCTGCTGTTGCTGTTGCCTTTTGTCGTGCGAACAAAATTATTTTTATATGTTTGGCCCACATGAAGCCAAAGTAAAGGTAGAGGCAGCGGGCGTCAGGTGAGACACCGCCAGCGATCACGAAAGGGGGGCAAAATAAAAACAGACAAACATAGCTACAGATCGAGAGATAGAGAGAGAGAGAGAGAGCGAGAGCGAGATAGTGTTGCATTTCCTGTTTGGCTGCCAAATGAATTTGTTGATGAATTTCAAATTAATTTGCACAATTTGCCGACTGTCCAGCGTGGGCAGTCACGGCGGCGGCGGCGGCAGCGGCAGCGGCAGCAATAGCAGAGGAGCCAGCGACAGAGACAGGGGCAGATTGCCGCTCATTAGGTGGCCCATTAGGGCGCCCACATGAACCGTTTGCAACTGTTGCCGGCATGAAACGAACGCCAAAGGGCGCTAAGGCAGCCCAGGCAGGTAAAGGTGACACAAACACCGTCCCCATCCCCTTGAAAAGTCTAAATTGGAAAGCAACGGAAATAGCTAGAAAAAATATCTTAATGAACGCAGCTGCAGGGTGTTGCGGGGCTGATGAATGTATTTATGATGAATTGCTCCAAAAGCAGCTCGTTAGATGCGAGCGAGAAAACGTGGGGAGGGAAAGAATAGATAGCGAGAGAGCTCGCGCACACACAAAGCATAGCAGCGACAATAATAATAACAACAACCAGAAAATGAATGCAAATTGAAATTCCAAGATCGAAATCAAAGATGGCGACGCACCAAAAACAAAGGCGCGCACAAACCAAAAACAAAAGACGGCAACAAAACGAGAGACAACAGAAATTTAATGCAATGAAAATCAAATAAATTGCAATGAAAAGGCAAACAACAACAACAACGGCAACAGCAACAATGTCAACGATAGCAATCACTAAACATGGTGGGCTTACAGTTGCGCTGCTCGCGTCGCTGCCAGCCGCACTTAACGAGAGCGGCTCAACAAAAGTGAAGCATTTGAAAAATGCATAAGGAGCCGGAGCCATGCAAATAAACCGATAGCGCAGCAGAGGGAGAAAGAAAGAGTGCGCACTGGCAGACCACCAAAAATGGACAAAAACGCAATGGCATAAACGAAAAGAATGCAGCGAAGACAGTGAGAGCGCGAACAGGAGAGAGCGAGAGACAGAGAGTGAGAGCAAATAAAAACGAGCCTCACTCTGGAAACTGGAAGTGGCGGCAGGCGAGCTCACCTCGCCTTATACGAAACGAAACAAAAACAACAAGAAAAGCACAAAGTGGCGACTGCAGCTCAAACAGCAACGCATAAATTTTGGAGCATGTTGCGAGCGCTTTTGTTGTCGTCGTTATGTAGTTATTTTATTTTTTGCATGTTGCTAGAGAACCAGCTGCAATTGCCAACGGGGCGCGTGTCCATGTGAATGTCATGGATGTGAATGGAATGGGGCTGGAACCTGGTGCTTTCACCCGTGGAATGCGAGCAGCAGCAGCAGCAGCAAATTAGCTAAAATACTCAAGCCACAGGGCAACGTTGCTGTTGCCGTTGCTGTTGCTGCTGCTAATAATAACAGCTGCCTGCAAAGAGAGCTGAAGCAGCAAATTGCATGAGATGCACATTAATTATGACAAAAGCAAATGGCAGCAGCAGCGGCTACAAAGTGACAGCATCAGTAGCAAACGCCTCGCATGCTTCACACGCCCCCACACAACGGCAACAAAAACAACAAAAGTCGCGCTATTATGTATGTAGCTGCTGTTGTTGTTGCTGCTGCAGCTATTTCCAATATGCTGACCAATAAATGGCACAGCGAATGAACCAAAAACGTGTCGCGACTGGAATGAGTCATCGTCATCGTCATCATCATCATCAACTTATTTGGTCAGCAACATGTCAGTAACAACAACTGCAGTTGGCAACATTTATGTTGGCAACAATTAGCAATGGGCAACATTTGGTTGTTGCCAAACAGCATGTGTATGAATCGAATGCCTTTTATAGTCAAAGTAAAACAAACGACAGAAGAAAACATGCATTTCTGTTCCGCTCTCGAACCGGTAGCAACATTTAGTTTTGGCAACATTTTGTTGTTGCTGAACATATTAGGTGCACATTTGGGTTTGCTGTTATAGTTCCATTCGCGAACCGGCTCAAAATATATGCTGAGTGCAAATTTCGAACCGGTTTGCCTAACCTCACTTTTTCACTGCATTTTTCATGATTTTGTTGAAAACTGTCAAATTTTTATGTAAAATGAAATAAACAGCCAAACACACACCCATATGCACACACACGCGTTCGTTTCTCTTGTATTTTATTTTCTTTTTATTGTTGTTGCTGTTTGTACAACACATTTTGTTGTTTTTTATATCCCAAAAATGATTTTTTTAAACTTATTTTTGTTTTATTTTCACGCGCTGTTCGACTTGGCGACATTTCAAAATATTTTTGAAAATTATGGACCAACAACTGCAGAAGCTGCGTAGACAGGAATGGGGAGGGCAGGGCAGGGTCAGGGGGAGGCACCGATGGAAGAGGCAAGGGGTGTGGCATGTGGCAAGCAGCAGATCACAAACATAAATTAATTAGAAGCAAATTTTAATGTACAATGAGAGAGAGAGAGGCCAGCCGTAGTAGCACATGCTCTCTCTCTCTCCCTGTCCCTTTCTCTCTCTCTACTAGTCTTCCCCCCCTCATCAACTCTCCTTCTGTCACACGCACTTTGGCTGCTCATTATTATTTATGGATTTTTTGGCACATTTTTCTTTCGGGTCCGTCAACCAGAAATGATTTCGAGTTATTTATGACATGTTCCACTGTAGGGGCGCAGGTGGGCGGCACAAGAGGGGGCGGGGCTGAGCTGGTAGAAGCTGTCGCTGCAATGTTACCTCACGTTGTCTTCACAGCTTAATGTCTTTTTAAATGGACGAGCACACACCGAAAGCACTAAAAGGGGCTTCGGAACTAGATCCTAACACATTAGGGGCACTCAGCACAAATATTTGGGAGATTTTCGTCGGCCTTAAGTTCTTATTTGTATTTCAATTAATGCGAAAATAAGAATTCAAAGTTTTATGATTTTTTTTATTTTTATTTAATTTTAATTTTTTTTTAAATTTGTTGTTTTTTTCGTGAGGGAAAAAATGAGAATTTAATTAAAGTATAAAATAAAATATAAAAAATATAAATATATAAAATAAAATATTTATATAAAAAAATAACCAAATAAAATTAAAAATATTACAGATTCGTATAAAATATTTAAAAAATAATAATATATTTATAAAATAAAGAAAATTAAAAAAATGTTAAGTATTTATATATGCATATATATAAAAGAATATAAAAATACTAATATATTTAAAATAAATAAAATTAATATAAAAATTTATTAATATACATAAATAAAATAAATAAATAATATATAAATATTAAATAATATTAATATATTTTTAAAAAGTTACTTCATAAATAGGCACAGTGGAGAAAATTAACTATTAAACAGACAAAGAAAAATATGCGTAGTTTGTCTTATAATATTTGTAAAAATATATTAAGCACATCATAAGAACAATATATATGAATTATATATTAAATATATTTTAAAATGTCAATTTTAAGCGTAATTTTCTAGGCACAGCGAATAACCCTAATGCACTGACCAACGCTGGGGTTCTTCTCTTCTTTCGGTTTTTTAGAGTTTGTCATGAAGAAAATAAAGAAGCTTTTTTATATTATTACTTATGTACATATCTATCAGATCAATTCAGGAATTTTGTGGACCACCCTCGTAGATGGGGTCTTTCAACGTGGTGGTTAGATATATTTATCTCTGTCTCTAACTGTTTCAGGTTATCTCTCTTCATTTATACATATATCTTCTTTCTCCCTTAGGCTTATCTTCTCTCTCTCTTCCTCTTTCCTATCTGTCATTCTTTCTCTCTCTGTCTCGCTTTTTCTGTATATCTGATTCTTCCTCGGTCCCTTTCTCCCTCTTTTTCTATCTCTCCATCTCTGTAAGTCTATATTTCTCCTGGCTGCATTCTTTTTGTTGCTAACGGCATCTCTATCTTCCTTCACTTGTCTCCTTTATCTCTCTCTCTCTCTCTCTCTCTCTCGCTCCTCTATGTCTTCTCTCCCCATCTCTTTCCCTTTTGCTCTCTCTCTTTCTCTCTTATCACCTACACTGTGCCTTTTTTCTATTTATTTGCCAATATTTAGCTCTCCCCACTCTTTCCCTCTCTCTCTCTCTCTTTATTTGCTTCCCATAGTTATTTATAGGCCTCCCCAGATTTGTCTTTCGCCTGCCGCCGAGTCGAGTTAAATTTCATTTTTTTCATGTTTTTGTGCCACTTGCCTCAATGGGCCTCAATTATTTTGAAATTCATTTAAAGTGTCAATTTGCTTTCGAAAATGATGCGAGGTGGCAACCCTGGCAGCTGGAACGCCTGTCTTCACACACTCATACATGCATAACTCATCTTCATCCTCTCGATACTTATGCATTTTTTGCTATTGCTTCCCTTGCAGCTAAAGATGCGATCTTGGCTTTAAGGTGCGAGCAGGCGAGCGCTGGACTGTGTGAAAGAGACAGCAAATCGTGTGGAGAGCGAACTTTCGTGGAGGACAACGAGCCGCAAATCAAAAGGGCAACCCAAAGCAAGGCAAAGCAAAGCAAAAATCAGGTAAGTTCACAATTGAATAATAAACTTGAAGCCTGCCGCAATTTGTGGCGCCCACGCCTGTTGCGCTGTGGCGCGCCCAAAAAACGTTGCAACAAACAATTGCTGCGTGTTGCCCACGCACGCTGCACGCTGCTGGGCGGGCGACTGCGGGTGCGGAGTGTAGTGGATTCAACAGGTGGGGCGCTCAAATTAGACGACAGACGCTGCTGCTGCTGCTAGTACTGAGCCCACACCAGGCTGCCACATGCCGCATGTGGCAACACGCAAATCCTGTTGCCTGTCGCCTGGAATGCAGATTTTCAACTCGTTTACATGTGAGAGCTGGCGCTACAGACTCGTTTTTTGCTCTGTTTCTGTTGTCGTTTCGCTGCTCCGCTTTGGGCCAGCTGCTACCCGCGCTGCGCCCCTGTCTCTTGCCATTGCCTTGCCTTGCCTTGTTCCGGTCTTCTTTGAGCTCAGCTCCGTCTTCCAGCTTCCATGTTCCAGCTTCCAGCTGCTCGATCAAAAAAACCGGTTTCATTCCACAAGAATTTTGCCATAGCTAGACATGTGCATGTGTGTATGTGTGTGTGTGTGTTTTTGGTTGTTGTTGTTGCGTTTTGCTTTGTGTTTGTTTTTGTTTTAGCTTTGTTTGTATAGGGCCCATCTTTACGTTCTTATCGCGTTGTTTTTGTTGCTCGATTCGTGATTTTTCTATTGCTCCTTGCTTTGTTGTTGTTACTGCCACAGCAATAGTTGTTGTTGTTGTTGTTAGTTGTTGCTGTTATTGTTAGTTGTTGCTCTCAGGTTTTATTGAACTTTGTGTAACAAACAGCCAACAGCTTGTAGCAGGTGTTAGTGTTTTACAAGCTGTTAACTGCCGCTGCCACGGCTTAATGGCCAAGCAACAACAACAACATTTAACTAACTGTTGTTGTTGTCTTCGCTTAACGCCTTGCATTGAAATACGCGCACAACGCGACTCACAATTCATTGGCAAATAAACTTTTAGGCATGCGCTCGACTAGCACATACCCTGTACAAGTGGACTGAAGTGTGTGCAACATTTGTCATTCAATTGCAGCTACAACAATAGCATAGCATGCTAATTACAGGGTATCAGCTGTTCTACATGGTCTTGGTTTAGCTCTAACCCTCCCTAGCTCCTCCTTCCTCGCCTCTCTCTCTCTCTCGCCTTGTACAGGCACCGCCCTCGCCACTGCTGCATGTAGCATGGCTAGTTGCAATGCCTGTGCGCCTACTTTACTAATTTCTAACAGTTATATGCTAATTTCTGGACAAGCGCAAACATTTGAAGAAGCCGCTGACAACGTTTGCCATTCACCGAAGTTGTTTATTGTTGTTGTCGCTGGTTGTTGTTGTTGTTGCTGTTGTAGTGGTTGTTGCTAGTGAACATGTGTATTTTGACTGTTAATTTATGCTATTTAATTTGGCATTTCATTTGATTAATAACTGTTATTCCGTCTGTCTCGAATGTCTTCTCTCAATTTCATCATACAACAACAACGACAACCACGAAACTTGTCCTACGTTTTGTTATTGTTCTAGTTTGTATTTCTGTTTTTTAATTTAATGTGGCCTTTTCGAGGTGTGACTAATCGAATTAGCATGCAACAACAACGACAACAAAGCCAACAACAATCATATTAACCAATTGTGCAGATTAAGCCATGGCAACATTCACAAGCGCTAGCAACATGCTGCCGACTCGTAAGCACATGTTGCTAGCGCTTGCCGTTCTGCCGTTTGCCGTTTGCCAAAGAGAAGCGCATGATGGAGGGGAGTAGGAGAAGTAGTCACAATCAGATTCATATTCATTTTGTATAATACTTTATTCACACTTACATATATTTATATAGTAAGAGCAAATGTTGTAAATGCATTCACATGCACTTAAGATTCATACTATTATTCGAATCCGTATTCAAATTCACAGTCTCAATTAAACTAATCATTTTTATGACTTTCATACTCATATTTATACTCATATTCTCTCCTCTTTCGACTCTTCTTCGTATTCATATTTATATTCATAATATTATATTCTCACTTATACTGCTATTCAGCGTTTCATTGAAATTTCTAGTCATATTTATATTCGTATTCAGAGTCATGTTCATATTTGCTTTTATATTCATATTCACATTCATATCAATACTTTCATTTTGACATTTTGGCATTGATATTCACACTCATACTTACATTCATATTCATATTCACATTCATTTTATTATTCATATTCATTTTATCATTCATATTTGTTACACATTCACATTCATATTCACATTTAAATTCGTATTCTTATTTATATTTGCATGCATATTCATATTCTTATTTATAACAATGCTCATATAACTGATCTTCTTGTTCATATTCATAATGAATGAATTTCACAATAGTATTCACACTCATATTCACACTTTTTTCCTTCTATATCTATATCTATATCTGCCTTTGCATTTATATTCATATTCATATTCACATTCATTGTATTCATATTCATCTTTATTTTCATACTCGCATTCATATTCAGACATTCATATTCACATTTCAGTTCACACTCCTACTCAGACACATGTTGCAGCAACATGTTGCCCAATTAAACGTTCCCTTTATCAAATGCGCTTTTATTGTTTTAACTTTTATTGTTTTAACATTTATTTTGATTACTATTTGGAGCTAGTAGCTGCAAGCACTGTTCCCACTAGTTTCTCAGGCGAGGCAAACTGTGCGTGTGTGTGTGTGTGCAACATTCTTGCAACGCGCCATTCATTTCCTCAGTTCTTGTTCTGGCTTTGACTAGTTGTTGCTGTTGTTGCTTGGAATGCGCATTAATTTTCAACACACGCAACAAGCAGCAAGCAGCAAGCAGCAAGAAGCAGCAGCGGCAGCAGAGGCAGCCACAGCCACTGCCACAGCATAAGCTGCGTCAATTTCGCGCTTTACTTTTGTTGTCAGATGGTTTTAAATCAGCGTTCGCGAGGATCGAGCCAGCTCCACCTGGGCTGGGCGCTCGTCCGTGTAGGCAGTCCGGTTTGCGGTCAGCTCCTTGCGTTAACAAGTGGTTAGCAGCCGCCGTCGCAGTCGCAGTTGGCAGCGCAGTCAGCTGCATTGGCTGTGGCAGCTGCACGCGCCTGCCTGCCTGCCTGCCCCATAATGACTTTCAAATGGGAGCCGCACAGCGATTTATGTGCGTCAAACAGACTGCGAGAGAGAGGGAGAGAGAGGAAGCTGGAGGCATTGACGAGGGCGGGACAGGTGAGGAACTGGGCAGACCGGGCGGCCGTTTTCTTGGAATTCCGCGCGCGCTTTTGTGTACCATTTTTGTTTTCTGTTTTCTGTTTTCTGTTTTTTGCCTTTTGCTTTTGAGTTTTTTTTCGAATCGAGAGGCGCAAACTGTCGCAGGGCAAATGCTGCACGAACCCGTTCCGCAGGCCACTTGCCGCAACAGCAACAGCCACACAGCACCTGCAGCCTGCTCATAATAATGACACGCCATTAAGAAGCTGATGCCCTGATGCCACAAGGACTGGCCACATGCGGCATGCAACATGCTGCCAGCCAGGCAACCGTCTGGCCTCGGCTCCAGTTTAAATGGCATATTGCGAGCGACTGTGCTTCCGTTGTCACGCCCCATTCGCTTACCACAGGACAGCAATCTCTGCCCCTGTCCCTGCCCCTGCCCTGCCTTATGTTCGTTCACTTCTGGGTACAGTTGCGTTCAAGACATCACATTCCACACACAATTTAACGCCTACTTTTGCCAACAAAACAAAATTTTAAAAAATCCAACTTTTGCGCTGCTTTCGGCAGCTCAATTAGGGAAATTCCCAAAAGGATTTCCTGGGGGACAATGTTTTTAACACAAATAAATGCTCAAAAAATCTTTCTGTTTATGCATAATATTATAGTTTGTTAATTTTATAATATTTATGGATTGTATGGTATCACATTAGATCAGGGCAGCGGGTAACTGCACCTGCAACTGCACTGATCTCATCTAAAGGCGCTACCCAGAGCAGACCTCATTTTGAAAGCTGCTAGAAATGGCACGGAAATGACAAAATGGGAAAGTGTTCTTAAGTTAGTTAAAGTGCAAGCAGGAACTTGGTATTTGAAGAGCCTTTTCGATATTTAGTATGAAAGACAGGAGCAATCTATAGAATTGCAATTCCTATCAAATTATACAAATGCATCCATTCACATTAGAATAAATCATAAAGTTCTTTGTAAATGCATTGAAAAGATTAAGCACATATGGATCATCCTTACATATAGTGAAGATAAAGATGACTTTTGTGCTGAGAGGAGAGAGTATATGGGAATAAGAGTATTTCCAGTCGCATTTAGCCCAGTCTCACATGATAAATTTACACAAGGCATGACACTTACTATATAGAGGTAGAGAGAGTTGAACTTGGTCTACACTGTAAGACCACTCAGTCCTAGAGGCAGAGGTCCTCTCTGCAGAGAGAGGAGACGTGGCAAGTCGTAAGGTAGCTGCAGTCAGTTGCGATCGACTGCCACGCTTCCTATACAATTAATAGTAAATCCTTTTATATATATATATATATACTTAAAGCCATTACCAAACGTCTTTCCTTTCAGATTTGCCGCTCGCTCTCTCTGGAGCAGAGATGTGTCGATCGATGATTGCGCTGCTGCTGCTCAGTTGCCTCGTAGCGTGTTGCAGCTGCAGCAGCAACAACAACTCGAGCCACATGCTCGGCGTCTATATCGAAAGAGCGCCGGAGTCAGCGATCGCGCCCAAGGGCGACGAAGTGGTGTTTGAGTGTGAGCTGAACCTGCAGCCGGATCGCTTGGAGTGGCGCTTCCGGCCAAGCAGCAACGAGCCGTATAGCTACCTGCGGCCAGCTGCCGGCTACAACGTGACCAGCAGCAACGAGGACCGCACCTGGAAGCTGCGCATCTATGTGAACGCCCAAACGCTGGGCGACTACCAGTGCGTCGCTTGGTATGGACCCGGAGCAATCGCCTCGACGCCCGCCCGGCTCACGCTTGTCTCCATCTCCATAGACAATCCGAGCGTGAGCCGGCATGCCGTGCGCTGGAGCGTGGCGCCCAAGAACTGTGTGCTGCTGCGCTGCGGCTCGGTCAACTCCAGTCCGCCGGCCATTTGGAGCTTCTATCGGAATGGCGAGAAGCTGCCGCAGACGGAGCTGCTGCCAGGTGCCGCCGGCGCGCTGGTGCTCAACTCGGTCAGTGCCAAGGATGCGGGCAACTACACCTGTGCGGCAACGAATGCCATTACAGGCGTCGAGCTGCGCCTGCCACAGGTGATCGATTTGCGTGTCGACTACACGGATCGGACCCCGCCCTATTTTCTGCTCCAGCAGCCGGCGACACAGGTAGCCGCTCGGCCAGGCGAGACCGTTGTCCTGGAATGCCCGGGCGTGGGATCGCCCCGGCCTGGCGCTGTCTGGAGCAGTCCCAACGTGCCCAACATCTACCACAATCGCAGTCGTGTGCTTGCCTACGGGCTGCAGATCACGGACATCCGGCCCGAGGACCAGGGCTCCTACGTGTGCCGCCTCGACAATGGCATTGCTCCCGTGCTCGTGCACATGATCAAGCTGAGTGTGCTCGAACGACCGCGCATCTTGCACGGCCCCGACAATACTCTAACTAACGAGGGCGATCCCCTAAAGCTGGAGTGCGCGGCCTCCGGGCATCCCCAGCCAGACATCTATTGGCTGATCAACGGAAAGGATGCCAGCGACGACAACGAAACCCTCGTCGAGCACGGAAGCCTGCTCATCCATCATGTTCAGAAGCGTCATGCGGGCATCGTACAATGCTTTGCGCGCAATCAAATAGGCGAGGTAAGTCGTCGGCTCTAAGCCAAGCTACAATCGATAACTTCATTTGTAGAGTGAGGGGATGAATATGGAGTCCAAGTGCAACTTAAGCACTCTCCATTCATGAAAGCAGAAATCGTATACCGAATTTGGTATTTTTAGCCTCGAATACAGGAATCGATATTTATCGATATTTGGAAAAACTACCAAACTTGGCTACAGCTGCAAAATATCTGCAGCAGACTGCTCGATGGAAAGGTCAAACAAATCCTTACCCCAGAAGCTATAAATAAAGTGCAATAATATGGAAAATATAGATTAGAAAGCTAATTGGTATATCTAGCATCTCTAGAACCCGAATCATGCCTTCATATAAAAGTCTATATCAGATAAATAGAGCTTACGCAACATGGTCTAACATGGTCAACCCTAAATACCACAATAGGTGTCTGTAGCTCCTAAAGCGCTCGAGTTATGTTGAAACAGTCGAGTAGCGATAACAATAGTTATCGATCAAGCAAACAATGAGATTGATGAGATGCTAGATCAGATCAGCCAGAGGCTATAAGACAGAGATAAACTGCTTAGAGCAGGAATAGATGTGGTTGCAACAATATGCCCCGTGGTTGCTATGACTGATGATTGATATTCCTTAAGCTCATCCCTTTTCCTTTTGCTCCACTTGCAGACGAGCGAGGGCAGCGTTTTGCGCGTGAATCCGATGCAGATTAGCGGCGATGATCTGCCGCTTGGCGAGGTGCCCATGCGATCGGCCCACGATTTGGCAAATGGTGGCGGCTCCTACTCGTCCGCCTCCTCGTCCTCCTCAGCCTCCTCCCCGGGCGGAGGCTCACGCAACAAGAAGCGCAAATACATGAGAATTGGTAAGTTTTGTAAGTTTTGTTCTTTTCATGCTTGGTTTCACTGTATTTCATATGCGAGATACAATTACAATTTGAGAGTTGGCTTAGGTCTAAGAGCGATTGACTGCTGGCTGATCGATTGATCGAGCAATCAATCGGTAACTATTGAACGGCTAACGCTAATCGTTAATCGTTAATCGTTTATCGCTTTAAATGTTAGTCGGTAATCTTTAATCGTAAAATACGGCCAGCCGAACACAGCTCGCCGTCCCGCCCACCCATAAAACAATATTTCTCTTCACATTCAAAAAAAAAGAAGTCAATTGAGGAAAAAAAATCAGTAAGATAACTATAGATAAAGATAAAACTATATATATCTAGCTGCAGCTTCCGTTTAGAGCAGCAATTGCATATCTAATTCCATATATTGCTGGTGCTGCTGCTGCTGCTGCGGCTCATCGAATTCAACATCCTCGGCCTCTGCCTCTGCCTCTGCCTCTGCCTCGGCCTCTGTCTCCGGTTCTGCCTCTGCATCGCTAATGTCCTCCAGATCTCATGTGCTGCTGCACTTGCGCAGCTGCTCCTCCTCCTTTTCCAGTATGCGTATCTTCATTTTGAGCTCCTCGACGCGCAGTCGATGCACCTCGCGCATGTACTTGAGCTCATCCTGCGCCTTGTTCACCTCGATCTTCTTCGCCTCGGTGGCCAGTTGCTGCTCCTTGCAGCGCAGCTCTGCCTCCTTCACTTTGAAGTAATTGATGCGCTCCTCGTAGCTGTCGCCTGACTGTTGCTGCAACTGTTGTTGCTGCTGCTGCTGTTGTTGCTGTTGCTGCTGCAACTGCTGCTGCTGCTGCGTGACTGCTGCTGCCGCTGCCACGCCGCTTGCGCTAACATTTGCTACGGACGCTGCAGTTGCTGACACCGGCACAGTCACGGGCACCGAGGTGGCCGCCGTTACGTTGGGCAGGGCGCTGAATGTGAAGGTGGGCGTGCCGCCGGTTAGTTGCATCTTAACAGCAGCTGCTGCTGCAGCCACCTGCTGCTGCTGTTGCTGCTGCTGTTGTTGCTGCTGCTGCTGCTGCTGTTGTTGCTGCTGCTGCTGGACAACCACAGCTGCTGCTGCCTGCTGCTGTTGCTGTTGATGGTGCGCCGCTGCCGCCGCCACCGCCAACTGTTGCTGCTGTGCCGCTAGCTGCTGCTGCGCCAACTGCTGTGCCTGCGCCTGCGCCTGCGCTTGTGCCTGGGCTTGCGCTTGGGCCTGAGCTTGCGCCTGAGCTTGAGCCTGGGCTTGTGCGTGCGCTTGCTGTTGCTGCTGCGCCTGATACTGGGCGAGCGTTATCTGCTGCGGCTTTATCTCGCTGATGATCTGCTGGTTGTAGCCGCCGGCTGTGATGGTGGCCATCGTATGCTGCTGCGGCTGCGTGGGTATCGTGTGTATCTGTGTGGCTATCAGACAGAGGGAAAGGCAGCGAAAGAGTTAAATGGGAACAATTGCGACTGGCGTTTCACTCAGCTCACCTGTCGCATCTGCGGGATGCTTGATTTGAAGTATTATCTCTTCGCGGGGTCGCGCCGGCTTAAAGTGCAGCAGATCGGTCAGCGTTAGCTTTTCGGCACTTATTGAGTCAACGTTGATGCGATGCGTGTTCAACATGCTCGCATTTGCAGCAGCAACTGCGGCGCTCACCTGCAGCTTCTGCATCTCAGCGACAGCTGATTGCTGCTGCTCCACCTGGGCCTGCGCCGCCTGCTGCTGCTGCTGCTGTTGCTGTTGCTGCTGTTGCTGTGCATCGAGCGGATCGTCCTCCATTTCGCTAACATCGTTGCCATCCATTTCTATTTCGTCGAAGGTATCGCCCTGCGGGTTGTGCTCGGAGGCATCCGGACTGATTTGATATTCCGGCTCTACCTTGACGTTATCGTGATGCTGCTGCTGCTGTTGCTGCTGCTGTTGTTGTTGCTGCTGCTGAGCATTTGCAGAGACGGAGCCCACTTTGCCCATAGCCGAGCTGCCGCCAGACCCGCTGCCATCCCTATAAGGATACTGTTTGCGCAGGCTGCAAGGATGCACGAGATTAGTTGAAGAGCAATTTGGGCCCAGTTGCACTTACCGCGAATTGAGCCAGAACTTTTGTATCTGCTTAATGTTGCGCATGGCGTTCACATGTGGATGTGAGTTGAAGTCACGCACAATCTTGTCCCAGGTGTCGCGCACGGAGTACTTGTTGCGTTGCTTCTTTCTATGCTTGATGTCTATCACCTCCTCGTGCAAATGGAACAGTGTGTAGAGCACCTCCTTCTCTTCGGCGGTGAAGCGTGGCGTTAGCGGCAGTTGGCCCTTTGAGCTGCCTGCCGTTGAGCCATTATTGTTTGAGTTGCTATTGCCATTTGTATTGTTGTTGATGTTGTTGTTGTTGTTGGTGGGGCTGCCATCGCCGCTGACGTTGACCGTCGCCTGGACGACGGTGACATTGTTGCTGGCATTGGCGGCACCGGCACCAGCATCTCCGGTTGCCGACATCCTTGCTCACTCGCAAATATCTTCTTTTTTTATGGTTTGTTTATGTTATTTTTTTCTTCCTCCACTCGTTTTTCTCCTTTTGTTTTGAGTTTTTCAGAATTGAGTTTGTTTATGAACCACACGAATCACTTGAGTGACAGTTCGCGAGTTCCGAATTGGTAAGCAAGCGCAGCAAGCGCGTGAGCGAGTGAACGAAAAACAAGTCCAAAACGAGTCCGAGTCGGAGTCGGAATCGGAGTCTGATGCCGAGTCCAAGTTCGAGTGCGAGTGCCAAAAAGTGTTGCCGAGTAGCGAGTAATATACGAAAATCAATTGCACTCGTTTTGCTAATACACACACGCACACACACACATGCACAGCGAGAGCGAGTGCGCGCGTGTGTGAGCGTCGGTGTGAGTCTTTTTGTCTGTTGTCGTTGTCTGATGTCTGCTGTCCGTCCGCTTGCCACTAAGGAGAACTGCCACTTTATATTGCACTACAAATGTCTATGGAAATATTGCTATGCTTAACCGCTGTACACGTTTGCCCCACAAATTGCTTTTGATTTAATTAACTTTAGCATTTAATGTAAATGCGCGCGCTTTGCTGAGGTTTTTTTTATTTATATATATATATGTATATATTTGTGGCATGCAGAGCCACCATCAAGCACAAAAAATTCCGCTCAAAACGCGTACGCAGCTATAACAATACTACTCAATGCTGTACAGCGATACTACTCAATGCTACAATACAATACTACTCATGCCGCTAACAGTGGTTCAGCGCTCCGGCTTGCGCACTGTTGACTCACTTTCGCGTTAACATTGCGAGCACTGTTTGCGTTAACACCATTAACCAACACTTGAATTATAAAAACTTAAAAATTGAGAAAAATTTGATTTGAAAATGAAAAACTTGGTATTACAGCGAATATGGTGCCGCCATCGCGACCTAATGTCACGCGACTGGCCGACGATGCCGTCATGCTACGCTGGAATGTGCCCAAAAACGATGGTCTTGCCATACAGTTCTTCAAAGTCCAATATCGAATGCTCGGCGACAACGCTCGGAAGATCCCTCGCGAGAATTGGCAGACAGCTAATGAGAATATACCATATGGCAGACAGCAGCAGCGGGAGCGGGATCGAGATCGAGATCGGGATCGGGATCGTCAACGGGATCATCATGAACAGGACATCAGGAATTTCACGTCGTCCGTAACTCTCTTGCGTCCGGATCGCTATTATCGCTTCCGCATTATAGCCGTCTACTCGAACAATGACAACAAGGAGGGCAACACCTCAGCCAAGTTCTTCTTGCGGCGCGGCGCTGCCAAATCGAATCTGCCCGTGCCAGAACTTCGCGAAATTGAATCCTATTCGGAATCGGCCGTCCTGCTCCACTGGACACTCGCATCGACGACAGCCGCCCAGCTGCATAACATTGATGGCTATTACGCCTACTATCGTCCGGCTGCCTCTGCCTCCGAGTACCTCAAGGCGACTGTCGATGGCGGCCATGCAAGACGGTTCAAGATCGACCAACTGGAACCGGGCACCGCCTACGAGTTCAAGCTGCAAACATTCAATGCGCACGCCGCCTCCGACTTCAGCGACATCAAACAGGGACGCACGACAAGTGAGTAGAGTACTAGTACCTTGGGTATCTGCAGCTGCAGTGCATCCTTTATTCTTCCGCAGAGTCTTCGAGCCAAACGCCGCCCGCCCTTGTGCCTGCTTCAAATGGTAAATCGTCGGAAGATCAACAGAACTCCATCTATCCAGTCATAGCTGGCGCCGCTGGTGGCGGCCTTCTATTGGTCATTGCCATTGCCGTGGCCTGTCTGTGCTTGCGTCGTCGCAACAATCCCCAGCCTGAGGGTAAGTTCCTTCCCTTTGCTGCTGGCTTAACTCTGTCCTCATTCCTCTCTCCCGCTCTCTCCATTTCAGACGAGAACAAGCCGCAATTGGATCACATTCAAGCGGATTTCGTTACATCTGCCGTGCTGGGCGTGGCACCACATCACAACCACAACCACAACCACAACCATAGCCACAAGCCGGGCGACATGCGACGTCTGAATGGTGTCATTCCGCGCATGAACATCACTTCGAATCCGCTCGCTCAGGATCCCGCAGCCGATAAGGTGAGCACTCGTATCTATTGCTCTCTCTATCTGTCTCGCTCTCACAGATTCCGGATACCTCTGATCCACTTTCCAATTATGGCTTTTATATCTTGCAATCAAAACAAAATCAAGTCAAAAATGTTTAGAGAAATACAAAAAACCTTTTCGCTGGTTGCTTGGTCAAAATTTTAAAACGTTTCTCGCCTCGCCTTTGCCTCGCCTACACTGCTGCTGGCAAGTCTCTCTGTCTCCCTCTCTCTCTCTCTCTCTCTCCTTCTATTTCACTCTATATCTGTCTCTGTTTTTGCTTTTTAGTGTCTCCGAGCCCCTCTTAAGTTATTCAATACTTGATTCCGCCTTTTTCCTTGAACTATGAAGCTTCTCTCATATCTCCTAGGGCTTATCATATAGAAAAGTATTATCCATTTGACAAGTGTGAAAACAAGTTGAAGTTCATAGAATTCTTACTTCACTTTGTCACTATTTTGAACAATCTCTGATTGAGGTAGAGAATGTTCCACAAAATTCGAAATATTATAGATTTATATATTATAGATTTATATTTCTTATCTTATACATATCTGTCCAATAGCTTTAAAATTAATTTAAATATGCTCTTCATCTTAAAGCCGCCCAGCTGTTCTATAGTCGGCGCTGCCTCAGCCATTGTCATGAGTATTTCTGATAAACAAACGCGAATTATTATCTGCTTAAGCGGATTAAAGCACAATTACTGCCATTAGCTGAGAACCTAACATTAGAATGGCATTAACATGGCATTAACATGACATTTACATGGCATTAACATGGCGTTTACATGGAGTCAGCTTAAGCAAACTGAGCTCAATCACAATTTGTATATGAATACAATTAAAATTAGAAATATCGAATATCATTAGAGGCATGCAAATGGAGTTAGACTTCGATATTCGCGTCATGGACGACTAGAGCTAGACTTCGATTATATTTATCAATCTTTAACTATCCATCCTTAGCTATCTTAAATTTTTGTTAATGTCCTTGCGTCCCTTTCTTCGGCTTCTTCATTGACTTTTTAGCCACGTCTATGTTTTATTTTTCTTCTTCAGTATTTTTACTTCTTTATCATTATTTTCATTTATATGCCTCGTCTATCTCTCTCTATTTCTCTGTTGCCCTTTCTGGTGTCTCCATCTCGCTCTCGCTTTTCTCATTCGCTTTCTAGATATTCAACTTCTTTTTCTCTTTCTTCCCCTTTCTCGCTTCCTTCCCTTCTTCCACTGCTTCTCTATTATATTTTGCTAGTCCATTGCTTCTTCCTTTCCTCGTGCTCCTCTGGTTCATTTGGTCTTCTCTCTCTCTCTCTCTCTGTCTATCTCGTGAGCGCTGTCTCTCTCTTTTTCTTCCTCTTGCTTGTCGCTCTCTCTCTGCCCTCGTCTCGTTCGCCATTTGCCAAACTGAGCGTCCCCTGTTCCAGAATCGCAATGTAATGGAGCTGCGCTTCCTGCCGCCCGCCAATGGCAACGCCTGCGCCGCTGCACCGGAGCAGCCGGCGAGGCACGTCGAGCCTGTTGCTGGCGCGGATATTTATGCCGATGCGGATGTCGATGCCGAAATGGATGCGAATGAGAATGCGGATGCGGATGCTGATGAGGATATTGCTGCTAGCGAAAAGGCTCAGGCGTGCGCCTCTTCCTCTTGCGAAACTCTGGAAGCATGCGAGGGTCTCAGCCAGTCACAGTCCCAGTCCCAGTCGCAGTTGCAGTCGCAGCTGCAACCGATGCCAGTTTCTACGGAGGCGCCTAGCAAGCCGCTGCCGCCGCTGCCCAAGAAAACAGTCGCTTCCAAAGCGCAACAACAACAACAACTAAACGTAAATACCAACAAAATAAGCGAAGAAATTTGGGAATTGAGAAACGTTTTTGAAATTTTGTTGCCAAGCCACCAGCCACCATTTGTTGCATGCAACTCAAGCAGCTTCGTCTAGCTTATTGAGTCTCACTAATATCTCTCTGTCTCTCTCTCTCTTTCTCTATTTAGGGGAATGCAATGGTTGCAGCTGCGGCCGCTGCTCTGCATCAACCGGGCCTGCATCATGCGCAGCCCTATCATGCGCCCGGCACGCCCACCTTTCCACACAAGCGCCACGAGTTTCAGGCGCCGCCACCCGTGCCGCCGCACGCCACCTACTACCAACAACAGCAACAACATCAGCAGCAGCAGCAGCAGCAGATGGTTGCAAGCGGCGCCTCGCCCATGTTGGACCAACAGCGACGCACGCTGGATCGCAGCGTACGCAGCCTGCAACAACAACAGCAACAACATCCCAGCTATGGCCTCGATGATGGCCAGGCCACGCCCACGCGCCTAGCCTCGCTGCGTCGGCAGCGACGCGCCTCTGGCAGCCAACCACACAACAGCCACACAAATCTCAATAATCATCATAACAACAACAACAACAGCAGCAGCAACAACAACAACAATAACAACAATAGTAACAACAACAACAACAACAACGTGCCGCCTCATCTGCTGCACCACCATGCGCACCACCACCCCCACAACGTTGGCATACCCCATGTGCCTGGCAGTCCGCGCGTCCAACGTTCGCCAATGCCAGCGCGGGCTTTGATCAAGCGAACGCGTCTGGGCAGTCACACGGACAACATCTCGTCGGGCAGTCTCAACAGTATTGAGGTCTAGACCTAAGCCCTCGCCCAACTCCCAATCGCCCCTCGCACATCTATCAAAAATCGAATAAAAACTTCCTTTTTTTTTTGCTAATTTATTTAAATTGTCGCTTTAAGTTGTTAGTCTTAATTAGTTTATACATACATATGCTTATATATATGCCTAAATCTCCTTATATCTGGTGTTATTTATTTATTTAATTCGCACACATTTATTCTTAACGACATTAGTGAGTAGTCGAGCCCCTTCGATGAGCAGGAGTCGTAGAGCCCAGCTGAGCTCTTAGTTTTGTAAGTCGTTCAACTATTAACTTTAACTCGCTGCTTAGGCTTAACCATAATATTAAATAGATCTGTAAGAATTTGATTTTTTTCATATATATATAATATATATCTATGTCTATATATATATATATATATATATATATTTATTAGGTTAACGTGCTACTAATTTCCGCACACACAAAAATCTCCTAAACTATTCGGTAAACACAATAAAACCAGAATACAACAGAAATCGGTCCATATAAATTGTTTTATTTTCATAATCAACTTCATTCGCAGCTCAAAGCAAACTTTCGAAGTGGAATCCTTGGGGCGATATTGGCTGTAACCGTGCAAGCAGCGTTGCCAGTTGGCCAGTTCAGTTCAGGTTGACTCTTCAGGTCAAGTCAGCGCAACTAGTGAAACAGGCTAAAAGGCAGGCCTTTTCGTAATCGATTTGCTATAATATTTTATGGAAGGTAAATATATGGATTTATCTTATTGGTGTCCAACCCATTTGAATATATAATATATATAGTTAAATAATTTGTTTATTGTCTAGTTTAAGACAGATTGCTAATAAAAACAGCAAAAAAAAAAACAAATATTTTATAGAAGAGAGACCCGTAGAAAGCATCGAAATCAGCTGAGTGTTCCGAACTGATTTCTTTACCTCCCTCTGGTAGCTAGCTCAACTTAACATCGATAAAGTTCGATGAAGCGAGAATCTTTAAAGTTAACTCAAAAGGGTTTACAGCTGAGTCTGCAGCAGCAGCAAATCTAGTCCCGCCGCTTGCTGAGCTCTTTGCGCAGGCTCCACTAGAGCGAAATTCAATTTCCTTTTGCTGCCTTTGTCTTGTTGGCTAAAGTAACTTGAGGCACTTCTGCATTGATGCTGAGTCACTTCATAATCTCTCAGCCTTTGTTTGCCAGTCATTTACTGCATATTACTAAGACTGCCTATGAATGGAGAATGCCTAAGAATGGAGAAATTCGGCGCTAAACTAAGCTTTGGCCGGTTCAACAAAGCCATTTCAATATAGCCATTCAATATACCCATTTCAATATAACCATTCAATATACCCATTTCAAAATAGCCATTTCAATATAGCCATTTCAATATAGCCATTTCAAAATAGCCATTTCAATATAGTCATTCAATATACCCATTTCAATATACCCATTTCAATATACCCATTTCAAAATAGCCATTTCAAAATAGCCATTTCAATATAGCCATTCAATATACCCATTTCTATATAACCATTCAATATAGCCTTTCAATATAGCCATTTCAATATAGCCATTTCAAAGTAGCCATTTCAATATAGCCATTTCAAAATAGCCATTTCAATTAAGCTGCAATTCCCGCCAGCCGCAATTTCACAACTGTCGCCGCTTTCTATGTTTGTCAAATGCCAGAACTGGCGGGAAAATAGCCAAATTGACGAGCGATCTAGAGCAAATCCTTTTCCATATGTCAAATTCGTGCGCTTGGCACCCCACTCAACTTTGCTTCGAGCGCTCAGCTGAAATGCTCGATTCTTATTTGAAGTTCCACATATTCCACAATATTTTTTTATTCACTCTTCGCTCTGTGAAACATATGCAAATTGAGCTCCCAGCTCTTCCCCTTCTGATAGAAGAGTATATCAAAGTCATGAGAGGGTATGCCACTCACAGTCCCTTGCTCACATAAATGGGCATTTATTTACCTGTGTGCGGTACTCCAGCTACCTGTTGAAATTGCACAAGGCTGCACAAATACTTAAACATTTATATCTAATCTATAAGTACTTCTTTCGCAGTTCGGATTAGTCATGCATGCCAAATTTCAAGATTTTACTATTTTAATTTCAAATTCATGAATCCAAGATTTCGAAAAGCGAAACTCTGTGGCTGTAAGGAACTGTTTATTAGTGCGAAAATATTTGAATTTCGAATTAAGCTAAGCTAAACGTTCATTCGTAGCTTTTTAGTCTGGTTTCGGAGTCGCTGCCTTACCTTACCTCACCTTTTAGTTCGAAATTCAGACTGTCTCGAAGGGAATATCTCTCAGTTGAGATTCGTATAAAATAGAAAAGGTTTTTAAGTCGAATATCGAATATTATAAGCGAGGCACTTTTTCGAAGTCAGCTTGACCACTTCGATTTCGATAGCGTTCGACAGTTGTGATTCGTTGTGAATGCAGTTGAGTCACCAGATTCTAAAATCGAGCATGTTTAAAGCCAGCTATGCATTCGAAGGATGTTTTCGAAGTCGATTTCGATAGATAGTTCGGCCAAGGTCTCGGAGTCACTGGAGAATCGCAGAAATTATTTGATGGACGTCAACTCGATATACTCAATATTATTTAGTGTTTTATTAATCGAAAATAAAAGTACAAATTGTGAGCTTGGAGCGATCTGTGAAAGAGTTAGATTGCAGTCCAGTGGGAGGGAGAGAGTAGAGTAGAGTAGAGTGGAGGCTCGATGCGCGGCTCACTATGCTGGCGCTGGTGTCTCGGGCGCCTGTTCCTGCAAGCACAGAACCAGAACCAGTTCAATGCGACAATTCAAATGAGTCAGTTGGCCGGGTGAACCAAACAGCAGACGAGGTAGCTAAAGGAAGCACAGGAAACTCAAAGTGTGGCATATGCAGACAGAGAGAGAGAGAGAGCGAGAGAGGAAGTCAGCCCAAAAAGAAAAATAATAAAAATAGTAAGAGGTATGCATGTTTTTTTGTAATTTAGTTTAATTTACATTAAAAAATAGAATTTGTAATTAATGAAATATAATAAAAAATAATTCATCAGAGCGTTCAGATGTTGAGCTGTTGGTTCGAATCCTTCATGATGTGAATTATTTTCGATAGCTGGTGTTTTGAAATGTTTCATCATTCACTGATCTTGACTTCATACATATATAGCATATATGCACAGATATACTATATACTGCTATGCACACACACAGGCACACACATACATATACAGAAGTACACATACATGTGTGCGTATATTGTGAGATATATACACGTATATTTCGCTTGATATCAGATAAATGTTGGTTTGCTGTTTTCTTGTTCTCTTGTTTTCTGTTTGTTTTGTTTTTGTTTTTGTTTTTGTTTTTGGTGAAATAATTTTATTGTATTGAATTATTATTGTTTAGGGCGGGAGTCACGGGTGGTACAGTGGACACTACGTGGACGTGGACACTTAAGCTTCGGCCTCAACCTCCTCCTTTACCTTGGCATCGCCGGGCTTGCCCTTGGACCAGTCGGGTTTCTTCTGCGCATTTCCAAGCCGAGCAAAGAATATAGAGTTATGGAAAGAAATATATTAGCATTGTCAAATACGGATATATATTTGTAGTCGGGCTTAACACTTAACCAGAACATTCCGGAACAATTGACTAAGAGCTGTGCTGTGGGCACTACGAGACTACAAACTACAGAGACATACATACATACAGATACTAGACTAGATAGAGGTTCTTGTGTTGAGTGTACCATAAAAATAGGCAGTTGGAAAGAGATAGAGATAGAGACAGAGACAGAGACAGAGAGAGAGAGAGAGAGAGAGAGAGAGAGTGTGTGTGTGTAATACATAAAGTGACATTGGAGGACACTTGGTGCTCAAACATTAAAGACACATCATCATTTCACTCGTTCTTACACTTTTTGGCTTGCTTTAGAGAAGAGGCATCTTTTATCTTTTTCTATCGGAGCGTTCACAGCAATTTTGTTGATTGTAGCATATATATAGTATAGTATAGTATAGTATAGTATATATAGTATAGTATGTATAGTATCAAGTTGTTAAGCTTAGCCTATGCCTAGCTAGCAAACTCATTGAACTTACCTCCTTTTCTTCCTCCTCCAATGTGAACTCCTTCTTCTTAACCACCTTCAATTGGTTGCGGAAGTTGAACTCAGCGGCCTTCTTCTGCAGCTTGGCAAATTTGTTTTCGTATTTGGAGACCTTCTTCAAGGCTGGCTTAACGCTATATATGGATGGGATGTATATTAGATACGATTAGTGTGTTTCTGACCAAATTTCATTTTGATTTTATACCCTTGCAGCTGATATATCATAGGAAATTGTTTTCATTTTCTCAACTAATCAAATTTATACACGATTCTCTTCAACTATCTATGCGAACTGAGCTCTTAGTGAGGCTTTCTGCCTGAATTTTGGTAATGACCTTCTTTTTAGCTGTAGAAAATTAGTTTTTCAAAAATCACTTCGATTCCTTTACTATTTCTTGAGTTAACCACATGGAAAGTGGGCTTCATCGGATCACTTCTTGTATTTGATATCATATCCTGCGTACATATAGAGCTGCAAGCGTATCTGGAGCTTAGCTCCAACTACTTTTCCAACTTACAATTTGCCGCGAAGATCGTTGACTTGAGCATTGAGATCGTTGATCTATAGTTTGCGACGTCACAGCGAGTGAGGGTGAGAGTGGGAGAGGGAGAGAGATCAAAGAGAAACAAAAAGAAAGTACAGTTAGCATACAGATATGTGATACCATCGAGACAGATTTGACATAGACTCTAGATGTGCTATAGAAAATAAAACTACTTCAAATCTCAAATATCAAAATCAAAATGCGGGCAAATTGGGGGCAAGAAGACGTGCACTCGAGTCGTAATGCATGCAGCAAACAGTACTACAGTTACAGTTACAGTTAGAGTTAGAGTTAGAGTTAGAGTTAGAGTTAGAGTTAGAGTTAGAGTTAGAGTTAGAGTTACGACTACAGTTACAACTACAGTTACAACTACGGTTACAACTACGGTTACAGCTACAGCTACAGTTACAGTTAGAGTTACACTTACAGCTAAAAGTCTACGCATATCATAGCATTAGCATTGTCATTACTTATTTCTATATTAGCAGTGAGCAGCTGATGCATGCGTGCGTGCGAGCGAGCTAGCAAGACAAGCCGAATGTGCAGTTAGGTTTCTTGGTCTAACGGTTTCTTTTTTTTGTTTTATTACATTTTTTAGAGGGCAGCTAAGGTCGGTTGGCATTTCATTTAATTTCTTTTCTTTTCTTTCTTTTTTGTTTGTTTTGTAGTCGATTGAAGAACAGCATAACATCCAAATGTCGATTTTCTCTATATTTTTTTATGATTTTTTTCTTGTTTTTTCAGTTTTATTTCAAGATTTTTCTTTTTTGTTATTTTTTAATATAGTTTTGACCTACATAAGACTTGAGCGTACTGGAACTGGGGCCTGAGGTACTGCACAGCAAGGCACATACATACATGACATACGATACATTGATTGATAGATAGATTGATTGATTGGTTGATTGATTGATAGTTTGATTGTACGTCTCTACAGCTACAAAGGGTTCACGCACACAGATATATATATATATATATATATATATATATATATATATATATATATATATATATATATATATATATATATATATATATATATATATACATAGAGAGAGAGAGAGAGAAAGAGAGAGTATAATTATCTGCTTTGTTTTGTGTTTTCCTTTTCGTTTTCATTTCTTTTCTCTACTTTGTTTGTTCGGCTTTTGACGCAATGCTTCGTGTTGTTGCTTGTGATAACGGTAATAAATCATAAATAGTAACGGTAATTAAGTAACGGTAACATTTAGTGGGCAGCGGTAACTAGCATTAGCTATTAAAAAGAAGGTAAAAGCGAACTTCGAAATCGAACTCGAATTCGAATTCGAACTCAAATTTGCCTGCCTCAACTATTTAATTATTATTTCATATTTTTTGTTTGTTTTTGTTTTTGTTTTTTTTTATTAAATTCCAGGAAATCGACGCTTGGCTTTGTTGCTCTTCAATTGCTTGGATTTTATGCTTTTTGCTTTTCTTCTTTACAATTATTGAGGTTAGGGCGCGCGTCAGCTTGAAAGAGTGCGTGAGAGAGAGAGAGAGAGTGAGCGAGCAGCTAGTTAACGATACAGTTACAATGAAGTCAATTGGTTACAGCCCGCTTTTGAACATTATTTACAATGAAGTGCGAGGGCATTGTGGGATTTGCAGGTATTTCATATATAAATGCATATATATGCTTTAGAGACAAAGAGCGAGACAGAGAGAGAGAGGAGGTGAGCAGAGCGGATAATTTGTGGTGTATGTGTGCTGTTCATGTTATTTGTTTGTTGTAGTATCTATGTGTGTGTGTGCGTGTGCGTGTCTCTGTGAATGTTGCTTTGGCTGCACATGCAGAATTTTCTTAAGGGAAAAAACTATTGCCTACGTTTGTGCGCGTGCTAACGTGCTTTGTGCTGAGTGTGTCGTTTACGTGTGTATGTGTGTGTACGAGTGTGTGTGCGAGTGTGTGTGAGATTAACGGACGCAACGGACAGTGTCAAAAGAAAGAAAAAACACGCGAAACAGCGAAACAAACAAATTATCACAGAAAAAAATTAAGAAAGAATAAAAAATATATTTTTTTTATTTTTTATAGAAAACACAAAACAATGTCACAGAAATTGTTCGAAAACTGCATGTGTGTGTGGGTGTGTGTGTGTGCGTGTGTCTGTTGCAGTGCTGAACAACGACAAGAAAACAGTGTTGTGTAGTGCAATGTGAGTGCTGCGTTTACCAAATGAAAGGAGTCGGTGCATTGAATAAGAGTAACTCAAGTAACTTAAGTTACTGCAGTAACCGCAGTAGCTGACTCGATTAACCAAAATACTATGGAAAATAAGTATAGAGATGGAGCTCAGAGTGCATCCATTTGAAATGCTTTGAACAAGTTGCGCAAACAAGAATCAAACTCAAGTTATATAAGACCTTGAAATCGTATCTAAAAGTAGAGTAGCTCTAGCTCATCTGATGAACACTCGTATACTGCTCTTAGATAATGAAATAATCTGCATTACAGGAACAGTTTCTTGTCAAGAATATCTATAGTTAGTTAGTTATAGTTATAGTGATTTTTTTTTTTTTTCGGTATAGAGTAAAGTTTTTTTATCTGAAGACACAACTTTGCTTCTCAGCGAGATATAGCTTGAACAAGAGACTTGCTTAAGTGAGAGTGAAAAAGAGATGGGAATGAGAGAGGTTGCATAGGACAAATGTTCAATAGATGTTAGATATTCCCTTCACAGATAAAAAGATTTAGTTTAGTTTCGCAGCAGACCGAATCTTATCGAGCTGATTCCGATTCCAGAAGCGATTCAAGTCTTCAGTCTTCAGATTCTTGAGATTGATTTCAGTTGAAGCTAGCTGTATGTCAAATGTATATCTATACTATGTATACTATGTATACTATGTATACTATGTATACTATGTATACTATGTATACTATGTATACCATGTATACTATGTATACTATGTATACTATGTATACTAGTATACTATACTATGTATACTATGTATACTATGTATACTATGTATACTATGTATACTATGTATACTATGTATACTATGTATACTATGTATACTATGTATACTATGTATACTATGTATACTATGTATACTATGTATACTATGTATACTATGTATACTATGTATACTATGTATACTATGTATACTATGTATACTATTGTCTACTATGTATACTATGTATACTATGTATACTATGTATACTATGTACTATGTATACTATGTATACTATGTATACTATGTATACTATGTATACTATGTATACTATGTATACTATGTATACTATGTATACTATGTATACTATGTATACTATGTATACTATGTATACTATGTATACTATGTATACTATGTATACTATGTATACTATGTATACTATGTATATATGTATACTATGTATACTATGTATACTATGTATACTATGTATACTATGTATACTATGTATACTATGTATACTATGTATACTATGTATACTATGTATACTATGTATACTATGTATACTATGTATACTATGTATACTATGTATACTATGTATACTATGTATACTATGTATACTATGTATACTATGTATACTATGTATACTATGTATACTATGTATACTATGTATACTATGTATACTATGTATACTATGTACTATGTATACTATGTATACTATGTATACTATGTATACTATGTATACTATGTATACTATGTATACTATGTATACTATGTATACTATGTATACTATGTATACTATGTATACTATGTATACTATGTATACTATGTATACTATGTATACCATGTATACTATGTGTACTATGTATACTATGTATAATATGTATACTCTATACTCAATTGCTTGGCCGCAGCTTTGTAGTTGCTCTAGCTGTTGTTGTTCGACTGTTTTGATTGATTGGATTGTGTTTCCGTTTGTTTCTTTTCGTTTCAAGTAGAAATAGAGCTTCAGAGCTTGATAGGAGTTGGTAGAATCAATTTGGAGGTACGGAACCATCTTCATATATATGTATGTAGGCATGTATGTATGTATGTATGCTATAGATTATATGTGTGGGAGACGAATGTAGTTTTGTTGTTGTTGTTGGTTGGTTGGTTGGTTGGTTGGCTGTTGTTGTTTTTTGTTGTATGTGAGCAAGTCAGAGAGAGAAAGAAACACAGTTACAAATAGAGTCAAATACTTTGGTTTTTGTTCCCAAAGAACACACACTAGTATCAAAAAGTTTTCATAGTTGATGCAGAAAAATACAGAAAAAAACGGAAACGTAAAAAACATATGATACTAAACAAATTGTATGTCTGGTATTTTTTTGGTATTTTTGGTAGTTTTTGTTTTTTGAAATTTTGTATTGTATTTTTTGATTGAAAATTTGTTGCAGTACCTCCCAGTCTTTTTTCCTGACTTCGTATTCCAGATCCCATTTCTGGCCTTCACAAATATACATACGCTCGTAATACTCTTCGCAAATCTCTTGCAATTCGCCTGTAAGAACATATTTTTGTTGTTGTTGTTTTTTTGAATGCATTTTTTTTTTGGTTTGTCGTTTGTCGTTTATCGTTTTTGTTTTTTCATAATCGACGAATCTTAAGATACTTATTTGACATTTATGTATGCATGATTTATGGTTTATAAACTTATTTGCTTTATAGTTCTACAGATATATAGATATATATATATATATATAAATATATATATAAATAAATATATGTATATAGATATATCGTATATAGGTTATATAGTTTTTTTATATTTTCTTCTCGTTTTCTTCTTTTTTTTAGATGTTATGTGTTCGGTAAGAATTCTATCTGAATTTGAATAGATTTTGACTTGGAGTGATTTTTAGTTTAGTATTTTTTTTTTCTTGGAATGGGGGCGCAACGTACGGAACTGAGAAATGTCTTGGCTTTTGTTTTTGTTATTGTTGTTTTTTTTTGGTTGGTTATGGTTGGTTTCGGTATCAGTATCGGTATCGGTATCGGTATCGGTATTGGTATCGGTATTGTGGGCTATACGTAAATCAGAAACGTTTTCAATCGGGCTCAATTATCGATAGATCAAGCAGATACGAACAGACAGAGAGAGAGAGAGAGATAGAGAGAGATAAATAATGAGAAAGATTGTATACTTTATGTATATATATTATATATTTAAGTATGGATAGCTGTATGCTTATAAAGTACAGTTATAACCGACCTCTAACCCAATTGAATAACGTTTCTTCATAGTATTATTTTTTTTTTTTTTTTGGAGGGAATCTCCCAAACGCAGAGTTCAAAGCACGCGCCGATTTTTTTGTTTTTTTTTTTTTTAATTTTTTTTTTTTTGTTTTGCTTAGTATCGTGCGCCTTATATATTTATATATATGTATGTATATATGCAATTATTAAATATAGAGAGATATCTGGTGTGTATATATATATATAATAATAATAATAATAATACTTTTTTTAATATATTTTTTGGCTTTGTACTTTTTTTGTTGTAGTTTAGCGCAGTTAAGAACAATATCAAAAATTAGGTTTAAGATCAGAAAAAAGAAATAAAAATTGCGATTAAGTTTAATTAGGGGCAGATAATTATATAAAAAAATAAAAAAAAAGATTCAATAAATAATAATAAATAAATTATTATTATTAATATTATTGCAGTTGTTGTTGTTGGCGATACAGATATATGTATATATATATTTATATTGAAATATATATATATAGATATATTTATTGTTTTTTTTTTATTTTTTTTAATAGATTTTTATAGTAAATAATAATAATAAACATTCACATATTGGTTGCTCTTGTATTTTGTTTTGGATTTGGTTTTTTTGTATCTTGTGTGGTTGTGTTTTGGTATTTTGTATAGTATTTTGTTGGTATTCTTTTGGTTTTGGTTTGGTTTTGATTTGGGTTTCTTTGTTGGGAAATTTACCTCTTGTGCTTTGACTTTCTGCACGTGCTCTAAATCAAATTTATCGCCCTCCAATTGGTAAAGTCGTTGCCAATATTGTTTGCATATTGTTTGCAGTTCGGCTGCGGTAACGGTAAACGGTAAGCGGTAAACGGTAAACGGTAAACGGTAAGCGGTATCGGTTATAAGTAAACGTCATTCAAACGTTAAACGCGCCAGAGTTTGCGTGTGTGAGAGAGTGTGTGCGTGTGTGTGTGTGTGTGTACGCGTGTGCATGTGTGAGTGTACGTGTGTGTGGGTATTTGTGCAAAAAGAGACGCAAATAGTTGCGGTTACAAGAATATATAAGGACAGTAAGGAGACAGAAAGAGATAGCGATAGAGAGACAAAGAGAGAGAGAAAGGGAGAGAAAGTTTGTGTATGTGTATTGGTAGTTTTTTTGTGGTGAAAGTAGTTTAAAGAGTAAGAGTTAAAGTGAGAGGGAGCGAGACAGACAGAGAGAGAGAGAGAGAGAGAGAGAGAGAGAGAGAGAGCGAGTGATATAGACGCACATGTAACGCGCGTCGTTCGGCGCGTATCAGAAAAGAGAAGGAATATATTTGAAATTAATATATAATAGTCAGAGATTGAGCTTTATCCTTAGCTTTACGATATATATATATATTTTGTTTAACACCTACGATTGTTGCATATACATAAATACATAATAATTGTGCTTTGCTTGCTTCATTTTTCGTTTGTAATTTTATTTGATTTTTTTTTGTTTTGTTTTGTTTTTTCTTTTCACTTTTACTTTTTACTTAGTTTACATCTTTTTTTTCAGTGTAGTGCGCTTTAACTTGTGTTTTTTGTTTGGTTGTTTGCATGAGTTGGATGTCTGTTGTGGTTGTTGTTGTTGTTGCTGTTGTTGTTGTTGTTGTGGTGGCTGCGTGACTGTACTTGGATATGTGTGAGAGGCACTGCTTATGAGCTGAGTGAGCGAATAGAGAGACAAAGAGAGAGAGAGAGCGAGAGCGAAGCGCTCGTCGTCTTGCCTCGTACGTTATTTACTCGCTGGCAGCTAGCCACTCGTTAATCGACTCGCTACTCGCTGCTCGCGCTACAACTACTCGTTGGCTACGAACCCGACCACTACTCGATGTTAGCTAAGCTAATCGTTAGCCTACTTGCTTGCCTAGTCGTATTCGTTCGCATGCTCGCTGAACCTTTTGAACCCTGTTTGGGACTCAGAGCGTTACTCGTTACTCGTTATTCGTTGTTCGTTGTGCGTTGTTCGTTGTAGTTCAATTAGTAAAAAGCTGTTTGCAAAATTCAAAAAGTAACAAAACAGCTGTACTACGACAACAAAATGACAACGAAGCCATGGCTAAAAAACGTACTTAAGCTAGTTAGAAGTTCGTTATTGTTCTCAAAAAAGAGGAGAGTGAAAAATAAAAGCCACAAAAAGCAAAATGTTGGCCAAAACTTAAATATATAGATAGATAAATAGATAGATAGATAGATAGATACTTAAAAGCTAAAGGCAAAGAGCGGGCAGGAACAACAGCGAGTATCTGGCATTGTTGTTGTTGCTTGGGTTTAGTAGAGGCCGCGCGTTAGTTGAGGTCCGTCGAGCCGACATTGGAGTCGGCCGACTTGCCACTAAGCAAACGAGGGTTAGCTGGTTGTTAGCGCTACGACACTAGGGTTTATTACTCGTTTTATATACTCTTTAATATCGCCCAGTATGTCAAATGGGCGATTGGACAAATTTTGAACTGTGCTCTCTTGGTGAATTGGTATTCAAAACTTGTACTTTGTGGCTCTCTTCCATGTAAAATCAAAATCAAAATCAAAATCATGGAAGAAAACGATGTCAAAAATTACAGTAAACGGAGCTAAAAATTATCTACGTTTTGCTAGCTAGTTGTGGGTTGCTCTATACTACGGATAGCCCCGGACGGGAACACACACACACAGACTGGCCGCCAGGGGGCGTTTTGGTGCCGGCATCTCTGGAATATTCGCATATATCTTTCAGGTGCTGCTCACAGACTATGTTCGCTATCCAAATGTGTGTATGGACCAATGTTATTAACAGTTTTTTGTTGTTTCAAAGAGAACTACCAAACTACAAGTAATTCCATCGATCTCTAGTTGAATTATCTAGTTCCGCAGCGCTTGGAACTTGGAACAAATCAGATCGAGAAGAGAGAGAGAGAGAAAGAGAGAGAGAGAAAGTTATGGGTGCAACGCTTGCCTCAAATTCCTTTCTGGCTACCTCGTGCTCCACATCGTATTTCTCAGACTCCAATTTCAGTATCTTACTGTAATAATCCTGACAAACTTTCTGTAGTGTATCTGCGAATGTTAAAACGAGTGAGTTTTTGTTCTGCTTCAAAATTTTGATATGATTTGTTGTCGGGTCCCAAGTACTGCTTGGACGGCAGACGCATTGTGCGCGAGTGTGTGTGGCTGGGTGGGTGTTGGCTGTTGGCTGTTGGGTAGTGTGTGTGTGTGCTTTGCTTTTGTGTGCATGTGTGTGTGTGTACTTGTTGTGTGTAAACGGAGAGTGAGAGAGAAAAAACTTCTTCACAAAGAGAGAGAGAGAGATTGGACCAAAGAGAGAGAAAGAGAGAGAGCTAGAGAGACATACAGACTTACAGAGCGCCACAGCTAGAGTTGTAGCATCAACTACCTTGAATTACCAGAACCATTACTTGAGTAATTACAAACAGTAATTGAAAGAATTGGAAAGTAATCGGCAACAAAAGTAACTCAATTACTTGAGCCAATGAGCGCACAAATAACTTCAATTACTTTGGTAATTAAAAGGAATTACTCAAGTAATTAGCGAGGTAACTGCGGCAGCATTGGGACAAATAGTACGCTAGCTAAATTGCGATAATCATATAAACGTAGGCTTACAAGTTAGATAAACGAGTAGATATAGATGTATATATAGACAGTATATAGGAGGGTATATGTATGTACAAGGACTTTGGTTTTAGTTTTTAGTTTTTGCTTGAGTTCGTTTTACTGTATACAAAATGGAATTGTACGAAATTAAGTGTATTATACAAATAGTTAGACAGCAATAGAAATATTTATATATAGGTAAACAGAGAGAGAGAGAGAGAGAGAGAGAGAGAGAGAGAGTGTGTGAGAGAGAGAGATAAATAGAGAGACTTATAGCTGAAATTTGCTATTGTTGTTGCTATTGCTGCTGCTGCTGTTGTTGTTAAGCGTTAAATTTGTTTTAGACTTTTGATTTTGATATAAATGCTTAGATATATCTATGTATACATAAAGAAAGACGTGGATCGCAGGATAAATTGACAGATAGAGAGGTAGGTAGGTAGGTAGGTAGATAGATAGTTATGTAGTAGATATGTGCGTGTACCTCAACATCCTTGCGTTTAACAACATACTCAAGATCATATTTCTGGTCCTCCAGCTTATTAATCCTGTCATAATGTTGCTTGATCAGGGTTTTCAGTGTGTCTGTGCGTCGACGCAGCCAACAATCAAAATTTGTATTTGGCATCAGGACAAGACACACACAGATAAAGATACATGCGTATATATAGATATATATATATTGTTGGGTAACATTCGATATGGTCAGGGGTGTGTGTGTGTGGGTGTGTGTGTGTAGGTGTGTACAGACAGAGACGGTCAACGAAAAGTGTGGGAGGAGAGAGAGAGAGAGAGAGAATAAGTGATATATTTCAATATATAACATATGGCTGTGTGTGTGTGTGTGTGGGTGTGGGTGTGGGTGTGTGTGAAGCGCAACTTGTTGTTGTTGTGTTTATTCTTTATCTTTTGTGTATAGTGTATGTGTGTGTGTGTGATGATAGATGACACTTTTGTTGACTCTTAATGTTTATGCTTCAATTTCATTTTCATTATATTTTTAATTTTTTCTTTCAGTTTTTAAGCTTAAAACAAAGTAAAAACTGCAAATAAAATTAAATTGAATTTTATTTGCAGTTTTTCTCTTTCATTTTAATTTTCTCTTTCTTTTTGTTGCAGCTTAATTATTTTTTATTTTTTGTTTTTTTTTATACTTATGAAAAATTGTAATTATTATTTATTTTTTTCTTTTCTTTTTCATTGATTTGTTTCGCTTGAACCGCTGGCACTCACCTTCGCTGGCATCGCTGAGATTCCTGGGGCTGCCGCAACGTTCTTCAATGATGCGTCTACGTTCAGCCGCTTTGCGTTCCTGCTCTTTCTTCAATTCCTCAGCGGCTTTCTTGCGCAGCAACAACTGAAAGACGACGACACGCATTTGTCAGCACACGAATTGCCCACTATTTGTGCCGCTCTCTGGCAGCGCTCAGTGCCCAGCTTAGCCACCTGGCTGAACTTTGCACATCTGGCAACTCTGACAAGAGGCTAGTTGGTGTCACAATGTTCGATTCGCACTTACCCGGAGTTTCTTCTTCCTTTCTGGGGTCATGAAACCCTTCTTGGCCTTCTTGGCCTTGGAGGCTTCCTCCATGCGCTTGCGCACCTCGGCGCGCTTGCGCTCGATCTCAGCCTGTTTAGCCTTCTTAGCCTGTAAACAGAATCGAATACAAAGGTCAGTTAGCATCGCTTACGGTCAGCGCTATCGTTATCGGTTTAGTTATCGAAAAAGAACATATAGATGGCACACGCAGATGACGTTGGATTTGGGGTTTCTTGTTGATTGGCGGCTGCGTGAACATTTCTTGGACTTGGCGAATTGGCGCTTGCGCCCACACACACGTACACCAGTGTACCTCCTCGGCCTTCACTTTGGGATCGTTGGGATCCTTTGGCGGGCCGGCGGGCGCGGCAGCCGCTTTGCCATTTGCAGCGGGCGCGGCAGCCGCTTTGCCATTCGTAGCGGGGGCGGCGGCGGCCTTTCCATTGGCAGCGGGAGCAGCAGCTGCGGCAGCTGGAGCTGGTGCAGCTGGCGCCGCGGCAGCCTTTTTCTGCAATTGCACAGAGAAGATAGAACGATAAACGATTAACGATTAATTATCGACAAGAGTTTGGTATAACAGGACATTAACATAGAAAGCAACGCCACACAGACAGCACAATGACAGAACGAACAGTGGACAAGCGATAATCGATAACATTGATCACTTGACAGTTCGTCCTATGCAGTTCTGTATATCGGCAGCGTTATCGAAGCTTGTGCGGCATCTGTGAAAGCAAGATAAGCCAGAGCATGCGTGTAAAGGCTAAGCGAGCGCAAAGACTAGATAGCAGAGCCTAGTTTATCGATTAATTAATTTCGATTAGATTCAATGTTTGTCTAACGGATGCAATGAACTCACCTCAGAACCGTTGCGCTCCCCTGCAGTTCGCCAGCTTCTTGCTCCGTCTGCCAGTTCCTACATCTTCCCTAGATTTTGACGCTTTTCAACACTGTTTCAACTGCAATTCGTACATTGATTGAATGCCTTTCTATGCGATTCACTGCAAGTCTGTGATACTCACCTCACCTCATCATCAGCCATTTTGATTTGTGTTTTTTTTGAGTTACTGCAAGTAAAAAGAGTTGAGCACCAAACGATGAGTGTGTTTTGAATGAATCGTAATGCAAATGCCGACTACTGCATAAGCTCATCAGGCACACTCACACACACACACAGACTGCTAATAATGAGTGGGTGTTTGCCGACAGGCTGTCATTTAATTGGCTGTTAGCAGATGTTCCATAAATTCAAAATAATTGACTATCTACACACGCACACACACACTCAGCCACTCACACATACTTTGTCGGCGCGCACAGTGCGTATGCGCAATGCATATAGATAAAGCGATTACGTATACGCCATCGCTGCCGCACCGTATATGGGGGCAGTGCCTGCTGATCGGTCACTCTCGCTCTCTCGCTCTCTCGCTCTCGCTCTGCACATGTCTTACTTGGGCGTGCAAGCAGGACAACCTGTTTAGCCAACCATCCATATCCAATTACAAGCGTCAGAATGAGAGAGCAAAGCGAATGACAAACAGAGAGAGCGAGAGCCAGAGAGGGAGAGAGAGCGCGCACTTTATGCACTCACGCACAGTGAAAAGCTCATGCTCAAAGCTTTCGCAACAACAACAACTGTTTTTTTTATCACAACAACAACAGTTACGGTATATATGGACTATATAAATACCGTTATTGCTAAACGAGTCGAGCCAAACCCGAAGGTTGCGCCACTATTTCAAAAGCGTTTTTAGCTTTCAATGGAAGAAACAGAAGAAAAAGCTATGGAACTTTAGCACACATACCCAAATGCTATATAGAACGGATACTAAAGATGTGTTATATGTATAAATATATATCTATATATATAAATATATCTAGCATAGATTGACTATGCGAATATAAATAAAATATGTTAGCTACCTTCAAATTAGACTGCCTCGAATGCCTCTCAAAGAGTAGCCGAACTCTTTATTATATATATTTTAATGTCTGCCGATATCGATGATAAGCTTTATGTATACATGACATATATACAGGATATATAGGTATAGTACCAAAGTATCTAGAGTCTAATATGTAATATCTACTGAAGAGTTGGGCAAAATTATTTTCTAGTTCGAGATCTCTGCAGCTGAAACCAGCTATTAACTAATAATACTTCAATCTAGCTATAGCCGAAAGAAGCTAAAAGTAGCTATAAAGTAGCTATATTGAAATACTGAACATTTTTATTTGAAAAGTGTCTGCAGCAGCTGAAGAGCACACACAGAATCTGCATCTAGAAAAGTATTTGAATCAAATGAAAATTCCAAGTAAATTTTCGGACTTTCCAGAGTTCTATTGACGTTTGTTTAATAGGCGTAATAGCTTTTTCAGCTTTCGAATTATTTTTCACAAAGTTTTTGTGGCTCTACTAACAACGCATATGAAATATATACGCGTGTGTGTGTATGGTTGTGCGTGTGTGTGTGTACAATGGCATATTTCTATTTTGGGTAACAGTTGTTGCTGCTGTTGCTGCTGTTGTTGTTGCTGTCGTTGTTGTTGTTGTTGCTGCTGCTGTTGTTGTTGCTTGGCGCTGAGATGTTCGCATTAAATTGTTGCTGTGGCTGTGGCGGTGGCGGTGGCTGTTGCTCACACGAATGTATCTTGTATCTATCAGCTACATTTTTAGCTTTTGCACGCACACACATGCACACACACACATTCCTTACATAATCGTTGCGTTCAAAAACAATTATGAGAAAAGTTGGCAAAAAAAATGAATTTTCAAAAAAAACCAAATGCGCTTTTTCCAAAGTATCTGTATCTTTAACTTGAGCGTTTGTATCTTTTGCGTTCTTTCTTTCTTTTATTGTGCGTTTCTCAGCTTTTGCTGCCACACTTGAGCACTTGAAAAAAATATTTCAAAAAAAAGATGTCAAAATATATCGTAAAAAAAAGAAAAAAAAGAAAAGAAAAACATTGTTTTTTGTTTTTGTTTTGTTTTTGTTGAAGATAGTTAGGATCACACGCACGTTACGAGCTCGTTGTTGTTCGTGAAAGTTAGATTTGGAACACACGAAAGACTCAGCAAAATTTCTTGATATTTTACAATTTGAATGCTTCTTCTTTTTGGATTTTGATTTGAAATTTGGATTTAGTTGACGTTGATTTGTGCGCTGAATGCTTTTCTCTTGAGATTGCGTGCTTCTTGGTTTCTGTTACTTGGTTGGGGCAGCAACCCACTCACCTTCAAGGAATTGGAAAAAAAATGAAAAAAAAACGTTGAGCGATGCTGTCGATCACACGAATCGGATGGTACTGAACGATACAAAAAGACTGAACGGTCCGACGATCCACGGCAGACTATATTCTAGTGGCAGCCAACCAGTGGATACAGATACCGATTCGGATTCAGATTCGGATTCTGCACACACACACACTTGTATATGTATATAATTGTATGTATATATGTGCCGCCCACCTGCCCGTCCTTCGATGATTGCGTTTTTCTCCCTCTCTCTCTCTCTCTCTCTCGCGCGCGCTAGCGCTCGTCAAGAGAGCGTGTCTGTGTATGTGTGTGTCTGTGTGCGTATTTGTATCTGTATCTGGGCGCACGGCCTAAAAATAGATGCCGCTGGCAACCCAAATCGAAATGGATACCGAAAATCTGTGTTGGCCACAATTCGTACGCTCCACACTGAGCGACAATCCGAGCAGCCTGTTGCAGGCGGCCAAACACTTGGAGAAATCGCCCAAAACATCTATATAACTATATGTATAATTGTAGTTATATCATATATATATATATGTATAAAAATCTATAGCGCTCTCTCTCTCTCTCTCTCTGTGTTTGGGTGTCTGTGTGTGCGGTGTAAGCGGAGCCGCTTGGAATTCAATGCATGTGTTAAAAATAAGTTTGCTCCAGTTGAGCACTGAGTGGGCCAGCAGAGGAGGAACTCGGGCCTCGCCTTCGGTCGCCCGGCCCCGCCTAGTGCCCCATATGCAATTGGCCAGGCATGGAGGCAACGCCACAGCATCAGCCACACACGATTCAATTGCCTGAGCTCCTAACGCCCAGCCCTGGTCTCGGCCAGCCAAAGGCAGCTGCGCTACGGACTTCAGTTCGATATTCTAACTTTTAAATATACAACAAAAGTATTTTCCAGTCAACATTTCAACGGTTCAAAAATAAAATTATAATATAAGAAATGGAAAATTATAGAAAACAAATATATATATATATATATAAATATAAATATCTCTCTAGATACATAAACAAAGAAGATAAATAGCTGATTTATATATTGAAATTATATATTCAAATGCTTTAATATATCCAGATATATATTTATATATAAATATGGTAAATAGCTTAAATCGAACTTTTTTAAAAATTTATTTGCTTCTTTCTCTACACTCTGAACTGCACATAAATTGACATAGTATAATGGAGTAGTCGCACAGATATGGACAGACAAATATTATTGTTGACTAGCTTTGAAGAGAGCTTAAAACCATTAGAGCTTAGTCGCTAGAACATTTTCAATATGTTCTGAAATACATAAATATCCTTTAAAACTACAATACTAAGCGAAGAGGCAGGGTTTTATCTATGAATTTACTTTAAGCTTTATATAAAATGTTGAGAATATGATCTTCACTTTGTTTTAATTACTCTAGACGGAAGTGCCCAACTAAGAGATACCCGGAACCTTGCGTATGCAATGAAAAAGCTTGGATTTTGATTGCAAATGAAGTAAGGGGAAACAAATTTGCAAAGACTCAAAGTAGTTCCTTCAGCCGAACCAGTTTAAATTTCTAAAACTATTTTCTTAGTAGTAGCAGAAGTAGTAAAAATAATAATAATAATAATAATAGTAGTAATAGTAGCAATAGTAGTAGTAATAGTAGTAGTAATAGAAGTAGTAATAGTAGTAGTAATAATAGTAGTAATAGTAGTAGTAATAGTAGTAGTAATAATAGTAGTAATAGTAGTAGTAATAGTAGTAGTAATAAAAGTAGTAATAGTAGCAGTAATAATAGTAGTATTAGTAGCAGTAATAATAGTAGCAATATTAGTAGTAATAGTAGTAGTAATAGTAGCAGTAATAATAGTAGCAATATTAGTAGTAATAGTAGTAGTAATAGAAGTAGTAATAGTAGTAGTAATAATAGTAGTAATAGTAGTAGTAATAGTAGTAGTAATAATAGTAGTAATAGTAGTAGTAATAGTAGTAGTAATAAAAGTAGTAATAGTAGCAGTAATAATAGTAGTATTAGTAGCAGTAATAATAGTAGCAATATTAGTAGTAATAGTAGTAGTAATAGAAGTAGTAATAGTAGTAGTAATAATAGTAGTAATAGTAGTAGTAATAGTAGTAGTAATAGAAGTAGTAATAGTAGCAGTAATAATAGTAGCAATATTAGTAGTAATAGTAGTAGTAATAGAAGTAGTAATAGTAGCAGTAATAATAGTAGTATTAGTAGCAGTAATAATAGTAGCAATATTAGTAGTAATAGTAGTAGTAATAGTAGTAGTAATAGAAGTAGTAATAGTAGTAGTAATAATAGTAGTAATAGTAGTAGTAATAGTAGTAGTAATAGAAGTAGTAATAGTAGCAGTAATAATAGTAGTATTAGTAGCAGTAATAATAGTAGCAATATTAGTAGTAATAGTAGTAGTAATAGTAGCAGTAATAATAGTAGCAATATTAGTAGTAATAGTAGTAGTAATAGTAGCAGTAATAATAGTAGTAGAAAAGTGTGCAATCTTTCGATTATTCCTGCAATGTAGTCTCGAAGGTGAAGAGGGTGCAAACTAAACACTGGCGGACAATTGGTAAAGCTTAGATACTTCACAACTACACGGCAAGTCCCATTTAATATTAAAATAGTTAAATGATATCGATAACTCAAGCAGATGTTGATATATATTTATCGAAAACAGAATCACTCTTGTTGGGTCAACATAAATAAATCATTTAATTTCAGTCGAGGTAAAAATATATTTAATTAATTCATTTTATATGTGGAAAAATGTGAAAACCCAGACTGCCAGCTAGCTATAGCTAGTGTATACACTGTAACAAAAAACGTGAATTGTTTGACAAGCAAACAAAGCTATAAACGAAGCGAAAAATCATTTGAATTGAAGCTGAAAAGTTTAAGGCAGCTGAAAAGCATAAAATATTTCAAATAAACTTTCGGACTTATTTAGATATCCCATCCTTATATAAAAACTATCCTGTAGGAAATATGTTAAAGCTCATGCAACTTGCAGTTCAAATAAACTCGAATCAGAATTACTTTTGTATATCTTTAATATTAATTATAAATAGAATAAAGGAAAAAGGCAAACGATTTTCAGTTCTTTCATTAAATTTAGAATAACAATTGAGTGCGGAAATCTTGCCCTCGACTGCAATTGCAGGCGCATAATATATATGCATCTCTAGAATATAGTATATCTTTGAAATATATATATAAATATAGGCATATATGTATATATATAGTTATGTCTTGTGGGAAAGCATATGTATTCAGATTTTGGCAAAAGCTGTGTGAGGATGACGCTGCAACGCGTCGTATGCGCAATTTGCCAAAGCACAAACAATCAGAAAAACAAATCAGACAAAAAAGAGACGCACCACAGGTTACAGATACATATTCAGAAACAGATACAAATGCAGATACAGATACATATTCATATGTCAGATACAGATACTCGCAGCTGCCTTGCAGTTCGTGCTAATGTGCAAAAATTTCACAAAAATCCGAAGCTGAAATAATTGTTGCTGCTTTTATTGTTTTTGTTATTGTTGTTGTTGTAGCATGAATTGTTATTGTTATTGTCGTCGCTGCTGCTGTTGTTGTTGCTGTTATTATGTAGCCTAGCAGCATCTTTTGAAGCGAACGCCAAAGGCAACAGCAAATTTTCTAGTTAAACTTTTCAATCACGGATATAGTTTGTGTGTGTGTGCGTGGGCGTGTGTGGGCGTGTGGGCGTGCATACATAACTATACGTATTCATAGACACATATATATGCTTGTATGTATATATATATATATTTATTATGTATCTACTTCGATCTGTGTAAATTTTGTGTTGAAAATACAAAAAGAATTTCGTTGCTCAAATTTTGTCTATTTCGTATTTCGAAATTGTTGCTTTTGTTGTTGTTGCTGTTGCTGCTGTTTCTGTTGCTGGCTTTTCATTATTTTCAAGAGATTTTTGAATTTGTATTTCTTTTGGTCGGCCGCGTTTTGTTTTGTCTTCATTTTTAAATAGAACATTTTAGGCAGCCAACCATGTAGCGCATTAGCCATCGCATCCATCAGATACGAGGAGACATTTCACCCATGGACGGAACAAATTAATGAAGTCTTTACGAACCGAAAACTTGTTGCGAAAATTTTGAATTCAGTCTCAAATTCTTATTGGAATTTGGAAACACTTTTAACTATATATATTTATATATGTATATATATATATTATATATATGTATATATATATATATAAAATGAAAGTTTAGTTTCATAAACCAAATCCCAATAAGAGTCTTTATTTTTCAAAGGCCCAATTCATAGTGTTCCTGCAGATTTCATTTTGAATTCCATTCCATATTCCTCGAAATGCTTCATCACATTTCTTATTCCAGCATTCGCTCACACTCCATTCCATATTGTTCCTTATACATTAATTTTTTAAATACGTGCACTTACTTAATATATGTATATATATAAAATAAAATTTATAATTTATTAATATATAATTTGTTCTATTATCCGTTCTGTGTTATATTCTGTGTTCCATTCCACATTCCATGCTGTGTTCCATTCCGTGTTCCACACCTTTTCTAGCACTTACTTCACAGTAGGCACTCAGCCAATTCGGCTATGCCTCGACTGCTTTTTATTGGGGCTGCTGCTGCCTGTTTATGCTAGGGCAGCAGCATTCATGCTTCCCCTTCTTCATCCAGCGCATCTATTTTTATGCTGAAAGTCGTTTGAAACAGTTTTGAACAGATTTTTAGTAAATGGCCAAGCAAATTTATGATGCCTCGATATTACTTTCTCTTCAATGATGTGTGTGTGTGTGTGTGGGTGAATGTTGTTTTGCTTTTTGGCCAAGTTTTGTTGTGCGCTATTTTTGGACTTTGGCAAACAGGAAACGGCAGGCGGGCGGGCATTCTGTTAGCGCAAATCAAGGTAAGAGTTAAAGACGCACGCACACACACACCACACGAACAACCACATACGCATGTGAGGAGTGTATCAACAGCATTGGAGTGCGTCAAAGCAAAAGCAAACGTCATAAGTGCAGCCGCAATGTTGTTCTTTTTAAGCTCTTGCCCCATTGTTGGCAGCTGCAACC